AATTTTCAGATTATGTGGCCCATTTCTAGATATGATTTATCTTTATCTACTCTGTCTTTTCCTGTGAATATCTTGAAGACTTTGATCATATCGATCTTCTAAATTCAAGAAAAAAAGGGCCTAATTTGTATAACCTCTCCTCATAGCTTAACCCTTGAAGTCCAGGTATCATTTTTTGTAAATCTATGTTGTAATCCCGCTAAGGTCCTTCTAAAGATGTAATGCCCAGATCAGCTCACAGCGCTCTAAGTGGGGTCTAAGAAGGGTTTTGCACATCTATGGCAAATTGGTACAGTGAGTTTGGTAAGATTGCAACCTGTGGCAAGTTGGGCTGTTAACAAGGCATTTAAGAAGCAATGATGAGCATCATTTGGGAACTCGCTGCTGGCTAGCAAGCGTCTCACCGTGCCTCTTGAGAAAAGCATATGAGATGTGATGAGATTATCTCGACATTGAGATTCTTCCACTCATCTCAGGACAACCCACTTTGCTCAGAGCCTAGTGAGTCTGCCTATGGTTTCCCTTTTACTTTGGTATTTCTTGTGAATTGTCTTAATGAGAACAAATCAAAAAGTTTGATTATATGTGTCTATTTTCAGCAAAACTGGAATCAGTGGGTATCAGGGGCCAAACTCTGCTGGCTGGAGTCATACTTGGTACACAGTAAGATGGTTGTACTTGTTGGGGGTCAGTCATCTCAGTTCCAGGACATCTCTGCAGGAATTTCTCAGGGTAGTGTTCTGGACTCAAACATCTTCAGCTGCTTTATCCTTTCCTCCAGCATAAAATCAAATGTCAGGAAGTTTGCCAATGGTTGCACAATTCACAAGTCCTCAGATACTGAAGCAGTCCATGTCCAAATGTAGTGAGACCTGGACACTATCCAGGCTTGGGCTGATAAGTAGCAAGTACATTTACATCAGAGAGAATCTAACTATCATTCCTTGATATTCAATGGCATTACCATCACTGAGTACCTCACTATCAACATCCTGAGCATTGCCTTTGACTAAAAACCGAACTGAACTAGCCATATAAATGCTCTGGTTAATAAAACAGGTCAGGTGCTAGAAATCATGCAGCAAGTAACTCACATGCTGTCGCCCTAAGCCTGTCCACTACATACGAGGCACAAGTCAGGATATAAATATAATTCGTCAGACTAAAGGGACCAAAGAATATGAGAAGAGAATGGGAACAAGGTACTCGGTTGGATAATCATATTGAATTGCAGAGCAGGCTCAAAGGGCCAAATGGCCTGCTCCTGTATTCTATGTTCCCAGAATTTGGAATTAGGTTAGACTAGGATTCAATTCATGAGATTGTTTTTAACAAGTTACACCTTTGCAGTGTGGTCAAACATTATGGACAGAATCTTGGCAGAAACTTGCTAGGTGTCATTTTTGTTGAGTCTCATGCAGGGCTTTTTTTTCATGAGGCCTGGCAGGTTTTCTCATGCTAGCACCCCAAACTCTCCTCATTTATTATGTACAATGTCCCTGTGGCACTCCACTTGCTTGATGCTCGCCCAATTCTCCCACTCTATGTAGGTGGAAATATTTGCCATTGCCAGGGCATCCCAGGATTCTGGCACTGGTGCCATCTTTAAAAGACCTGGTCAAATGTTGGCAGTCCAGAGCTAATAACATAAGAACTACGAACAGGAACGGGCAATTCAGCCCCTCGAGCCTGTTCTACCATTTAATATGATCATGACTGATTTCAAATCGGCCTCAACTCCACTTTCTTTTCCACTCCCCATAACGTTTCAATCCATTACTAATTAAAAATCTGTATATTTCCTTCTTAAATTTGCTCAGTCTCCCAGCATCCAATAAATTCTGGAGCAGTGAAGTCCACAGATTCATGACCCTGTCAGAGAAATTATTTCCCCTAATATCTGTTATAAATCTGCTTCCCCCTAACCTAAAACTTGTTCTCGATCACGCCACATCAGGAAACATCCTCTCTCCATCTACTTTTTCAATCCACTTTAGCATCTTACAAAGTTCAATTAGATCTCATGATTCTAAATCCAGAGACTCTAGACCTAAACTGCTCAATCTCTCGTAAGACCAACCTCTCATCTCTGGAATCAATCTAGTGAATCCCTCACAGTCAATCACATCCCTCCTCCAGTAAAGGGATCAAAACTGCACACAATACTCCAGGTACTGCACAGTTTGTTGCATTTATCCCGGACATGGCAGATATGGGGAAATTGCTATGCCACTTGACAGACAAGTGACCTGGGGGCCCTGGTGGACAGAGTGGAGCACAGGAGACCCATCATTTTTTCTGCCAGAGGAAGCCAAGGAGGCTACAACACCTTGCCAGGCTTGTCCAAGGTTGTCATCTAGGTCAGTGTGGTCCCAACTGTCCAGAAGAACACCTAGCAATATTACTGTAAGGTCAATTACCTTCTTTGTTGTGCCAGGGTAAGTACCATCATCTTTCTGTTACCTCACACTCACTCTATCACTGCTACTGCACCCATCTCCCACTAAGGCACATGTTTTACCACTCTCACTGTCACATGTAACTTCTTCCCTCACTTGCTGTCACACCAACCCCCACACTACTCACCCTGCATGGCCTTTGGACCTCCTACTCACTTACTCACTCGGAACACCTCACCTTCTTTCCCAATGCTGCACCCACATTAACAGCTGTGGCAGCTACTTGTATCTCACTCTATGCCTCTCTTTGTCTCATTCCAGGGGGAAAAAGCCCACAATAGGATAAAAGGAGCCAGGATGTGTGGTGGGTTGTTCAACATTTAGTTCCTCACTTCTAATGAGAAGAGGATCCTCACTGTGGCTGCCCCAAGTGCTGACTGACTGTGCCCGAACCCCTGCACTGATACTGGACATTGCTTTTCATATACTGTCTTGAGACCACTTGCCTTTACTGAAAACCACTACCCTTAGACTTTGGGACATCTGATTGAAGTACATGTGGTGTGTTTGATGTATATGCAGCCAGCACATATTGCAGGTGTGAGATTGACATACTGTTGTACAGCAACGTGTCCATCCCCCTAACTGATGACAGCTGACAACTGCCTGGCTTTATGTCTGCGCTAAAAGTCAAACTGATAGAAATGAGCCTATTCGCTCTGACTAAGGGGAAATAACACAAAAGTTAAGCAAAACAGGGATGCCATGAGCTTCAAAGCAGACACGAGTTGAGTGAGTGCTAACAGAGTAAGTGAAGATCCCGGAGATGAAGCCTGGTCCAAATCATGAGCTAGGTGTCCTTGCAGCAACAGCGCAATGAGAAGCATCAGTGCAGTCCAAAGTACAGCGTTAAAGTGCAGAACCTTACCAATGTAACTGGATTGGAGAGGGGCCATGATAACGCTGTGAAACTGCTATGTTTTGAATACCAAGGCCTGTGAACAAGGGTTACATGTGGTTGATGCTCAAGGAGCATGCTCCGAGATGCTGGTACCAGATGTCCAAGTTGGAGGACCAGAGGAGAAAGCTGTGAGCTGCACTCAACAGGTAACCACACTGATCTTCACACCAGGAATTGTCAATGTCTATCGATGTGGTGAGATTGAGTAATGATGAGGCTGTTGGGAGATAATCCATGTAAATAGGCCTCTTACTGCTCATTAGTGAGAACTGTATCTTGTTGTTCAAAGCTTGGTTGGAAAATGTGACATTTCACTCTCAACAAAGTTCTCACAGGGCAGCTCACCTGATTTTTCCAACATGCTCACATTGTACAAGGGCTGGGAAGATACCTCCCTGTCTCAACAAATCATAAAAAGGGAAATACTGTGGATGCAAATCTGCAGATGTACTGAACAGGTCAAGCGGAATTTTCAGACAAGTACAGTGTTAATATTTCAGGTTGAAAACTTTTCAGAATAAATCTCACAAGTTACAGACTCACAGGCAAATATAACATTATTGAAGCAGTGGTGAAGAAAGCATAAAGTCTTCACTGTCCTACTTTGTTCAATTTATCATTTCCAACATACTTTTAATCAGTACGTGGACATAACAAAACCTGTAAACAATACATTAAAAAAAAATTTCTCCTTGCATTCCAACTAAGCTCTAACTCCAAAGTTCACTTTCTTACTCCAGTAGAAATGGTATTTATTTTCCTTTTCTAAACAGAAGATTTTTGAATTATGTAATTCTCAGCCTGTATGGTTTGTGTTGTTGCTGCTTCCTGGTCATTGTACCATAGACTTCTGGTAACAGTCTGCATCTGTTTTATATTTTAGATGCACAGCCTTTGTAAGTTACTCTTGGCATGTTCCATAACAGATGAAAACATCTCAACAATACTTAAAATACTTTTGCAGCTATTGAAATTCATGAGTGAATTACAATCCACATGAATCACAATTGGCTCTGAGTAGATAAATTCATCATAATCCCAGAGGACCATAGGGAAGCTCTCTCAGTGGAGAGACCTTAAAGTCGTAAGATATAGGAATAAAATTAAACCATTCAGTCCCTCATGTCTGCTCCACCATCTGACCATGGCTGATATGTTTCTCAACCACATTCTCCTCCCTTTTCCTTGTAACCTTTTATTCCCTTACTAATCAAGAACCTATTTCGTTTTGTCTTAAATACACTCAATGACTTGGCCTCCACAGTCTTATGTGGCAATGAATTCCACAGATTTACCATTCTCTGGCTGGAGAAATTTGTTCTCATTGTCAGTTCTAAAGGGTTGGTCCTTCACTCTGAGGCTGTGCCCTCAGGTCCTAGTCTCTCCTACAAGTGGAAACCTTTCCATGTCCACTCTATCTAGGCCTTGCAGTGTTCTATAAGTTTCAAGGACAATGGTGGTTTAATCTAAGGATCACATGCTTCAGACAAAGGGCAAGGTTGAGAAACTGGGGCCTTCACGATGATCTCAGCCAGTTCAGGAATTGAACCCATGCTGTTAGTATCACTCTGCATTGCTAACCAATCATCCAGCCACCTGAGCTAACCAGCCCCAAGTAAAGACAACAGTGAATAGCCAAATTAAAAGGAACGGTTTATTCTCAACAATACTTAAAATACTTTTGCAGCTATTGAAATTCATGAGTGAATTACAATCCACATGAATCACAAACTTAAAAAGGAAGGCAGAGTAAGGACACACAACAGAATGAAACTTATGTGACCACAGCTTTTAAAGCAGTATCATTAGGAAACTAGACTGTGGTTATCTTCCCTTCTCTTCTTAGAAAGCAATTTAATTTGGTCCAGTCTGTGGGTTAGTACTTTGTGGCATACGTGCAAAATGCCAATAACGTCAGCAACTGTCAATAATTGAATTACTCATGATAATGTGGTCTGATTTTAATAGAGGTGTAACCCACATTTGTCAATGTTAAATAGCACCACAAATTAAGACTCAAGTTTGTTCAGCAATATTTCTAAAGCTATGTCCACAGGTACACACAGAGAAAGAATATGAAGAACAACACAGACTAATTGGACCTCCTCCAGCTGCCTAATACTATACGTAAATCAGCTTTACCTTGTAACATTATCAAAAATAAATTAGCACGTATGCATCATGTGATTAATCTATGTTAACTTTACTGTAATTGCAACGACTGGGAGTTGATTGTTGTTTTTCTTGACTACTATCAGACTCCATAGGGTAAAGGAGAATTTGTAACCGGCTCTTAAAGATTGATGAGGCATAATAATAAATCAAAGGATCAAGGCAACAGCTCATACTGCCAATAGACACACACAGCATATATGCAAAGTAGAGTGAATCACTTGGTGCATGATAAAAATTAAGATAGTGTATGAGTAAAATGATGTTCGTTGGTGTAAAGCAAATAATAAACACGGAAAGCACAAGTGTAGCAAGAAAATAAGCACGTGACTTTCCACACTGGTTTGTCTGATTGGCTAAATGAAGGGTTGAGATAATACATCCATAGCAGAATGAAGTCACAAGCAGGGGAATTACGAAGAGCAGAAAACACAAAATGGGAAAATAGTAGATGGAGTAACTTTGTAGTGTGGAGAGGGGTAGCACATCATGGCAGGTTGTAATGCCCAGCTCGGTGACATACACTGTTTGCTCAGTGAGGAAAAGTGGTATAGTACCACCAATAGCCACAAGCCACACGACAAGGCAAATTACAACTGTACGCCCCCAGGTCCTCCAGGTAGCAGATCGTATTGGATAGACCACAGCCAGAAATCGGTCAATACTGATGCACATCATCAGCAGCACTGAACAGTACATATAAGCATAAAAACTACCTGTAACCAATCGGCAGAGGAAAGAGCCAAATCCCCAGTCATTGCCAGAAAAATGGTAAGTGATCTTTAGAGGTAACGTCAGCACAAATAACAAATCTGCTGATGCCAAATTCATCATGTAAATTATGGCTGGTTTTGTCAATTGCATTTTAAGGAGGAATATTAAGATTGCCAGAAGGTTTAGAGGCAAGCTTGCAGTAAAAACAAAGGTATAAACAAAAGGAATCACTATAGTTGTCCAGGAACCCATTAGGTATAGTTTTGCTCTATCAGAAACTGTCACTTTGATGACTGAAGGTTGCGGGAGATGTGTGACATTAAGTCCATATCTCGGTAAATGTCTTGATATGTTCTGCTGTGAGTCATTGATCATGTTCCTCCGATTTCCAGTGTTACCAGCAAAGCTTTTGGCTATGTTGCTGCCATTATGCCTTGATTTCCTATCTGAAAAATAAGAGAATATTATTAAGCACTTAATTTAACACTCTTTAATGACAGAAAGAAGACAAAAGAGCAGGAGAGAATCGTATAGCCTCTTATGCTTGCTCTACCATTCAATAGGATCATGGGATGAACTTTTACATTGACATTTTGTCCTTTTCCCACAGCATTTACCCCACCAACACCCAGTCCCCTCCCCCCCACCAAACCACCCTAACCCCCCCCCCTCCCCCCACCCCAACTTCCCGGTGACTATGATGGAAAAAAATTTGGAGCTTTGACCATCACTGCCGGATACAACATCATTCAAACATTACGTTACAGCAACAACTCAGGCTCCTTGCTTGCCGAATGAAGGCCAGTTGGATGGATGATAGTGTGGATTAGATGTGCATTGCCCATGGTGGAGGTTGTGGTGCTATTAATCGGACCTACCTTTGGGCACAGAATGGAAGAAGAAGATAAGGAACCAAAACTACACATGGTACTCTGGTTACTGTTTCACCCTATTTAATTACAGCAAGGCCTTCTAGTACTTCAAACCTTTTGCAATAAAGGATAGCATACAATTTACCTTCCTACCTCCCCTGGGTGGGAGCGTGAATTGTGAGGAGGATGCAGAGATGCTTCGGACAAGGTCAGCGAATGGGCAATACATGGCACGTGAAGTATGATGTGGATAAATAGGAGGTTATCTACACTGGAGCAAAAATAGGAAGAAAGATTATTATCTGGATGGCGATAGATTGGGAAAGAGGAAAGCACAATGTTCTTGTACACCAGTTGCTGAAAGCAAGCATACAGGTGCAACAGGCGGTGAAGAAGGCAAATGGTACGTTGGCCTTCATAGTGAGAGAGTTTGAGTACAGGAACAGGGATGTCTAGCTGCTATTGCACAGGATGAGACCATATATGGAGTATTTTGTGCAGTTTTGCTCTCCTTATTCGAGGAAAAATGTTCTGGCTATGTAGAGAGTGCAGCAAAGGTTTGCCAGACTGATTCCTTGGATGGTAGTGCCATATTCGCTGGAGTTTCAATGAACAAAGGGGGATTTCATAGAAATCTATAAAATAGGATTAGATAGGGTAAAGGCAGGAAGGATGTTCCCGATCACTGGGGAGTCCAGAACCAGGAGTCACAGTCTAAGGATACGGGGTAGGCCATTTAAGACTGAGATGAGAAGAAATTACTTCACCTAGAGAATGGTGAGTTTGTGGAATTCTCTGCCACAGAAAGCAGATGAGGCAAAAACACCGAATGTTTAAAAAAGGTGTTAGATATAGTTTTCAGGGCTAAAAGGGATCAAAGGGTATGGGGAGAAAATGAGAAGAGGGTACTGAGTTCGATGATTAGCCATGACCCTACTGAATGGCCGAGCAGGCTCAAAGGGCTGAAATGTCTACTTCTCCCACAAATTTCTATCTTTCTGTGTTTAATTGCTCATTGTACCTGTACAATAACTTTCTGTTTTGCAGCTTCACTAGGCTGACACATCATTTCAGGTAAATCACACTGAAGTATATCTGCATTCTCCTCACAGCTTATCCTCCCACCCGACTTTATGTTATGTGCAAACTTGGAGATATTGTATTTATTTCCCTCATCTAAAATTATTAAACTACCTTGTGACTAGCTGGCATTGATCACTGTGCTACCCCACCAGTCACTGGTTCTCACTCAGAAAGTAACCCATTTATCCCTACTCTTTGTTTCCTGTCTGCCAACCAGTTCTCTATTTATGTCAGCACACTATCCCCAATCCCAAGGTCTTCAGGTTTACATGCTAATCTCTTACGTGGGACCTTACTAAACAGCTATTGGAGGTCCTAGTAAACCACATCTACTGGTTACCCCTTATCAACCCTATTGTAAATCCATGGTGACTTTGTCAAATCTTACCTCTTTTTCTCATGTGCTCTGCTATTAAATCTTCTGCAATGGAGTCTAGCATTTTCTTTCGTACTGATGTTAGGCTTGTCTACAATTGTCTACAACTTGTCTACAATTCCCTCTTTCCTATCTATTTCCTTTTTTAAAATAGTGGGGTTACATTAACTACTCTCCAATTCATGGGAACTGTTTCAGAGTCAATGTAGAATTTTGAAAGATGATCACCAATGCATCCATTATTTCTAGGACCACCTCCTTAAGTACTCTCAGATGTTGATTATGGGGATCGGCCCCTAATCCCATCAATTTCCCCAACATCATTTCCCTACTAATACTGATTTCCTTCAATTCCTCCCTCTCACTAAACCCTGTGTTCCCCAATATTTTTGGGATGTTACTTGTGTCCTCCTTTGTGAAGGCAGAACCAATATATGTACTTAATTAGTATTCCATCCATTTGTTCAACATTGTAACTTACTGTTTCTGATTGCAAGGGACCTATATTTGTCTTTGCTAATTTTTTTTTATTTTCACATACCTGTAGATGCTTTTACAATCAGTTTGCATGTTCCCCACAAACTTACGCTGGGTCCTCTGTTTCTCCCCTCTTAATCAATCCCTTTGTACTCCATTGCTGAAATCCTAAGGATTGTTACCTTTGTTTGGCCAATTAGCATGCCCCTTCCTTGGATCGAATACTATCTCTAATTTCTTTTGTTAGCCATGGATGGGCAACCTTTTCCATTTTATTTTTGTGCCTGACAGGAATCAAAAATTTGTTGCAGTTTCTGCATGCGATCTTAAACTGTTTGCCGTTGCCTATCCACTGTCATCCTTTAAGTAACATTCCCTAATCTATCATAGCCAGCTTGCATCTCATTGTAGTTTCTTCTATTTAGATTCTGGAACCCAGTCTCAGAATCAACCACGTCACTCTCCATCCTAATGGAGAATTCTATCATATTACAGTCACTCTTCCCCAAGGGGCCCTTACACTGCTAGATTGCCCATTATTGCTCTCTCATTACACAATGCACAGTCTAGGGTGGCCTGTCCTCTAATTGGTTCCTCAATATCTTGATCCAGAAAACCAACTTGTACACTCTCCATGGACTCCTCCCCTATGATATTGTTACCAGTTTCTTTTGTCCAATCTATATGCAGATTAAAGTCATCCATAATTACAGCTGTACCTTTATTGCCTGCACCTCTAATATCCTGTTTAATCCCTTCCCCAACATTACCACTATAGTTTGAGGATCTACATAGAATCCCTGCTATCATTTTCTACCCTTTGATGTTTCTAAACTCTATCCATACAGAATCCACATCACCTGAGCTAATATCCTTCCTCATTATTGTATTAATGTCCTCCTTAACCAGCAATGCTATCTCCTTGTCTTCCTTGTCTGTCCTTCAAAAAACTGAATACTCCCAGATATTTAGTTCTCATCCCTGATCACCCAGCAGCCACATTTCTGAAATCCCGACTACCTTGTATCAATTTGTATCTGTTTGTGCAACTAATTCATCCACTTTATTGTGATGCTAGATCTTGAATTGCTGCATCTGTTCAAAGTGTATGCCATTTAGCCTGGTGATGGTGTCACCTAACATGATGGAGAACATCCTCAAAGTAAAGATCATCTCCACAAGAACAGTGATTACTCTTATTGATATTGTCATGGAAGGTGCATCTGTGGAAAGCAGATTGGTGAGGATTTAGTGAAAGTTCTTCACCTAGAGAGTGGTGAGCCTATAGAATTTGCTGCTAAATCATTGAATTTTTCAAGAAGCTAGAATTTAGTATTTAGACTAAAGGGATGAAAGCGTATGGGGTGAAAGTGGGAAGAGGGTACTGAGTTGGATGACCAATCAAGATCCCATTGAATAGCAGAGCAGATTCAAAGGACCAAATGACCTACTCCTGCTCCCCTTTCCTATGCTTTCCCTCTTGTTGGTTCCTTTGTCACTAGTCACAGACCCAGTCATTGAGTAGAAAGGTTTAGGACTGCGCCAGCTAAGTTAACAGTAGTGCTGTACAGCTATTCTTGGTGATTGACATTAAAGTCCCTCCTTCATGAGTACATTTTATGCCCTTGACACCCTCAGTACTTCCTCCAAGTGTCGTTCAGCATGGAGTACCAATTCATCAGCCAAGGGAGGACGGTACATAGTAATCAGTGGGAGGTTTCCTTGTCCATGTCTGACCTGAAGCCATAAGGCTTCATGGGATCCAGAGTCAATGTTGAGTACTCCAAAGGTAACCCCCTCCTGACTGTATACCACTGTACTTCCACTTCTGCTGAGTCTGTCAGTGGGATTGGTCATATCCAGGGTTGGTGATGGTGTTGTCAGGTTTGTCGTGTCTAAGTCTCCTCCATATGAATGACTACGTCAGGCTTTTGCTCAACCAATTTGTGGGACTGCTCTCCCAATTTTGGCACAAGATCATTGGAATTAGTTATGGGGACTTTCTAGGGTCAACAGGGATGTGTTTACTTGCTAACAAGGTGTAGAGCTGGATGAACACAGCAGGCCAAGCAGCATCATAGGAGCAGGAAAGCTGACGTTTCGGGCCTAGACCCTTCTTCAGAAATGCTGTTGTTTCCATTGCCTTATTCGATGTCAGGAAACCGTTCTAGTTTCATTCCTTTTCTAAGACCTTTTAGCAGCAGATACAACTGAATGGGTTGCTAGATCATTTCAGATGACAGTAAAGAGCCAACCACATTGCTGTGTGGTCTGGAGTCACATGTAGGCCAGATCAGATAAAGTTGGCAGTTTGTCTTCCGTCAAGAAAAGAAATTAATAAAGAAATAATAATTAAAACTGTGAATTAATAAATTTTTTTTACATCCAGGTATTTTTCAAAGTTCCTTACCATTAGTTGTAATGTATTTTAAAATGTCACATTCTCCTTACTTGTTGAATCTTTTCAGCTCAGTTCTTGAAGTGACATTTAGAAGCTTGCTACTGCAATCCAAAATTAATCCCCCTGTTCCATTCTCTTCCTGTAGCCCTGTATTAGCGGCCACTTCCAATATTTATCTGCCCAGCTCTCAAAAGATGCATTGGTCTCTATCCCTGCTCTGGACTCTTACAATCTTGCAGAAAACAAAAATTCCTGTCTCCTCACTTTCTTCGTGACTACATTAAATGGCTGTTGCTTCATCATGAACACTCCAAACATCGAAAATTTCCTTTCCATACAGATCTTACAATTCTTCACTATTTTTCTAAATGTTGATACCATTCATCTATTCTGACAAAGGTCACAATATTTCAAGTAAGTCTCAGGAGTGAGACAAGATAGGCCAAAGTGCCTAATATGCAAACTTAAATATTTTACTAAATAATTTCTTGCTAAGCACTGATACAACTTGCATGAACATGCAACTGTGCAATATATCATGGCAACTGTTGACAGACAGCTTCCAAACTGTGAATAATCATGACCAAAACAATTTTTATGTAAATGCAGGGAGTGGTTGTAATGATTTTACATTTAAAACAATTAGGATTTGGCCATCTATTCCTGAGTGAATGAAATAGAATTGTCCAATTATTTGAAGAGGGCTACCAAAAGACAAAGGACAGGGAAAGTGAATAGCTCCAGTTGATGTGTCACCCACAATGGAACAACACCTCATTTTCTGCTTGGGAACCCTGCAGCCCTCCGGACTCAATATTGAGTTCAATAGTTTTAGGGCCTAAACTCTCCCATGTATCTGCACCCCTACCCCACACACCAGGTCTTGTTACCACATAGCCTGCCATTATACACCCCCCGTTGTTAGTCACTAACAGTCCCCATTAACAACTATTCACCCTCCCAGCCTGATCGTTAGCAACTCCTTTGTCTGTCCAACTGTCTTTCTCTCTTAGGATTCCATCCTATCGTTTACTCCCTACCTCACCCATCTCCCTATTTTCTGCATATAAACTGACGTTTTCCCAGCCACCATCAGTTCTGAGAAAGGGTCACTGGACCCGAAACGTTAACTCTGTTTTCTCCTTCACAGATGCTGCCAGACCTGCTGAGCTTTTCCAGCAACTTTGCTGTAAATCAGGAACAAAAACATCCGCAGTTCTTTTGGTTTTTACAATGCATTTAATGCCTCTTGTGCTGTCAAGATTAATTCAGGAGATTGGAGCATTCTTGCTAGAAGGTTTCTCACCACCCATTTCAAGTTTTGACCTTGGAATCTACATCACTTCAATGTAGTGCTGATGGACTGCTGCATTATCAAAGTTGCCACTTCTAGATAAAGTGTCAAACCAAGTGACATATGTGCCTCCCTGTAAATATAAAACACGGTACAGTGATAACCAGGGAAAAGAAGGGAATTCTGCAGTGTTGGGAACAGCCATCACCACTAAAATAAATGAAAGAGTATTTATCCTAATGCAGTCACAGCACCTTGCTGGCACAAATGGGACTGCAAGAGGCTATTTAGCCGCATGAGTCTGTTCCACCATTCTGTGAGATTATGCTTGGTCTAATTTCTTCTATCCCTTTTTGCCCCCAAATACAGTCAGAGTCATACAGCACGGGAACTGACCCTTCGGTCCAACCAGTCCATGCTGAACATAACCTCAAACTAAACTAGTCCTGCCTGTCTGCTCCTGGACCATATCCCTCCAAACCTTTCCTATTCATGCACTTATCCAACACATCTTGCAAATGCTGTAATTGTACCCACATCCACCACTTCCTCAGGAAGTTCATTTCACATGCGACTCACCTTCTGTGTAAAAAATTTGCCCCTCATGTCTTTTTAAAATCTCTCTCCCTTCCCCTGGTCTTGAAATCCCCCATCCCAGGGAAAAGACAACTACCACTAATTCTATACCCCATTACTTTATAACTCTGAAATGTACAAATACTTTTGGTTAACAGAAATTTATCAAACTAAAGTTTGAAATTAACAATGCACTCAGCAGCAATTGTCTTTTACAAAAGAAAGTTCTGAACATTGTGTGAGGGATTTCCCACCCCCCCCCCCCCCCCCCCGCCCCCCCCACCCACCCCCCCCCCCCCCCCCCCCCCCACCCACCCCCCTAATTTTAGTCCCAAAAGGACTGGCTCTAATTTTAAGCCCTTGACTAATGGAAATAGTTTCTCTCTTTCTAACTTACCAGTTTCTGTGAACCCTTTGAAAACTTTGATCAAATCAGCCCTTAATTCCTTGAAATTCCAGGAAATATGGTCCTGGTTTGTGCAAGGTTTCATCACGAGTTTACTGTAATGATGTCACTGCTTACTTCCCATGTTTATCAATAGTGACTACTCATCACATGTAAATTAGCTTGAAAATATTGGTTAAAGTCCTGTTGATGAGCATTATGATGTTAATGCAATACTTTGAAAAATGTCCATGATTCTTTGAGATTATCCTTTTGCTCTGAATGATGTTATCAAACATAACCATAAACAGGAACTTCTACAGCAGACCAGACCAGAATTATTTCTCTGCTTTTTAAAGGTGACAGCTGGGAGAACATAGGAACATTAGAATAGGAGGTGGCCATTCAGCCCATTATGTCTGCTCTGCCAATCCATAGGATCATGGCTGATCAAACACTTCAATATCTTTTACCCACTCAATCCCCATAATACTGAAAACTACTGATAATCAGAAATCTATAAACCTCAACGTAAGCATACTCCAAGACTGAGCTCCCACAGCCCTCTGTGGTAGAGAATTCCAAAGGTTCAGGGCAGTCTGAGAATCTGCTGGGTGTTCCATGAACTCTCCAGTAAACTATTTATCACAATTTCAGGCCAACTGTTTGACCTAAACTGTGCTAATCAGAGACAGCAGAGAAAATAGAATAGTCTTCTTTCCGCAAAAAAGAAGAAGATTTATTTATGGAAAGCCTTATGAAGCCTTTAACTAGCAGTAAATGTAACAGAGAAGGGTCCAAGTGCTTTCTCTGAGTCGGAGTTCAGTAGAGGAATACTGTGTTATCAATTACATTTGGAAAAGCTTTGAAAGTTAGCAATGTAAAACATCATAAGCAACATCATATACCACCTTCCACCAGAAATTCATACATTTCATTCAGATCTGGTACCTGTAGTGATTGTAACAAGGTCAGTTAGGCGGATCACATAGAATATGAGATCCCTGATAGGGGCTGTTGATCTGGTCCAATCAGGGAGCCCTGGCTGACAGATGTAAGAGGAGTGTCAGAGGTCCTGTTCACTCTGTGAAAGCCTGTGTCAAGTACTATGCACTTGTAAACAAAGAGTGACCTTGGTGACTGGATACCTGCCTCTGTGGAGTTATTTCAGTATTTCAGGTCTATATTCCAGTGTGATACCCACTACTTATGCCCTCTTTCCCCCTCGGGTATCATGTGATTCAACTGAGGCAGTTTAGTTGAAGATTTGACTCCAATTTGAATTTGTAAATTCTCGTGCTTGTTTTTGTCTGTATTTCTAATTGCCCATTCTCGCAAATAAACGGGTGAAAGGGTTCAGACCCAAAACGTCAGCTTTCCTGCTGTGTTCCTCCAGCTCCACACCTTGTTATCTTATGAAAGGCTAATGTTGCCCGAGGTTACAGCGTAAAAACAAAAATCGATGATTTTTAACATCTTTTAAATGTGGTCTCGCACCCCCAGTACACAGCACGAGCATAAACTAATTAGAAAGTCCGGGTTACCTTAAACTTTCTTGTGTTAAAATGAACTGGGACTGTGATACTGGAATAAAGGGTCATGTTCAATCTGTTGTCTTTGATATCGTACGCGGAAGAAAATATAAAGCGTGAGATAACATATTCCCCACAAAGGGAGCGGCTGGTTCTGGTCAATAGACTGCACTCTGCTGAATACAGAGGACTAACTTGGAGCTAATCTGATTCTGGTTTTCTGTCCCATTAACTGTGCTGAAATACCAGACACATCCTGACCCTGTTCCCATCCCCTGTTCCCCTCTCCTCAGACTGATTTCTTACCAGTGTGGAGAGCTGAGATGGTGGGGAGCAGGGCGACACACAACACAAGCCGAACTGTCCAGCCCATCCCCAGCCCGAGTGGAAGTTGCTGCTGTTCTCTGTACAATCCGGAACCTGGCTCAGGTTAGATCACCTCCGGAGTCTACAGCCGCCTCTTTCCGAGCCTCCAGCACCGGTCTCCCCTCTCTGTGAGATGAGTAAGTCCTTCAGTGTCCGAAGTATGTCAGGCGAGAATCAACTTGAAACTTTTCCACTCCGAATTGCAATTGTGGGATATTCCCGCACTTCCTGGGGCAGGGCTAAATCGAGTGGTAATTGAGGAGCGTTCTTAAAGGGATCATGCCTAGCTCTCCCAGTGAGCTATCCCATAGTATGATCCCAAAGGAAACAAAAGATTATAAATGCATGTTTTCTTTATTGTATTGTTAAATTCCAACAGATGCTCCGCTTCAATAACTGTAACATGTTTGATAAAATCCTTACATTGCCAAGTATGGCTCATCCCAAAGGGCTTCTATAGTGAAATGGCAGTAGCCCTACCTCTGAGATAACAGGGTGTAGAGCTGGATGAACACAGCAGGCCAAGCAGCATCAGAGGAGCAGGAAAGCTGACATTTCGGGTCTTTCTGAAGAAGGGTCTCGGCCCGAAACGTCAACTTTCCTGCTCCTCTGACGCTGCTTGGACGGCTGTGTTCATCCAGTTCTACACCTTGTTATCTCAGATTCTCCAGCATCTGCAGTTCCTACTGTCTCCCTACCTCTGAACCAGTCCAAGTCCCACCTGCTCCAGTGGTGTGTCGTAACAACTCTGATCAGGTAGGTTAAAAAATAACTAGCCCATCACAGTCAGGTATATAGTGACCAGACCACATTCATCATGAGAGACCACCCCAGCAGTGGCAAACTGCCCATCCTAGTGTTTAATTTTGAGGGAGAAAAGGGTTAAGCTGGTATGAGTTTTTTCTAACCATTTAGGGGAACTGGACATCAATAGCTGGGTCAGCATTTATTGCCCATCTCTAATTGCCTTGGAGAAGGTGATGGTGAGCTGCCATCTTGAACCATTACATCCTTGGGGTGCAGGGGCTCCCACAGTGAGAATAGGATGGAGGGACTCAATGCCAACATGCTCCTGTGGACTTAAGGGTGAATCCTGCAATAATCCTTCCCCAGACAATACATGCTGTGTGCTAACATCTGCAATTTCAAAATGGCATAAACCCAGATAGGTTTTCCCATGTCTGGATTCCCTAAAACTGCATACTTGCAGCAGATGCACATTCTTTCAGTGCTCCTTTAAAGCAGGGGGTTAACCATATGCAATACCATGTAGGTCCAAGCTTGTTCTAAATGTTGCATTGCAACATTGCCATTCAGTTTACCAGGGAAATAGTCACAGAGCTGCTGTGACAAGACTTGCAACTCAACTGCACACTAAGAATGGCACTTCCATTGGCTATTAAAATGACCATGACCCTCAATTCGCATTCCATTCGATGGTTTCCTTACTCAGTTCGAACAGGGGACCTCGTACATCACATGGAGTGCCGCTGTTCAGGAAGGCAGTTCGTGATCACCCTCTCAGAGGGAATTGGGGGTGGGCAATGAATGTTGGCCTAATTAGTGAAGCCACATCCTGTACATTAGTTTAAAAAAGATGAGTCATGCTTGTTCTGTGGCATAAATGTTTGTTTAATCTCCTTTTCCTGAAAACAAATGGAAAGAGTTTTGAATTTCATAAATCAATGAAGTTGCAGAATTCATGGCAGTCTAGGCCCTGAGGTACAATGTAAGTGCTTACTCAATTGAACATGTTTTCTACTCCTTTAACAGGTATCTATTGAAGATCGGTGACCCTGATATTGCTGTGAGTGGTGACTGCAGTCATGTGTGCTGTCTTCTTGCACCAGAGTAGAAATTCAGACTTTTAGCAAGATTTGGAGACATGCAGGCACACGGATCTGTTTAAAGTCAATGTCCTCTTCAAGGGATTTGTGACATCTATCAGCAGGAAAAGGAAATTTTCAACCAAACATAATAAAGAATGCACTGAGACATGCAGACTGCAGGGCAAGAAGTAAGAAGCAGGAAACACAAATTATGTTTAAATAATTGAACAAGAAGTGATGTAAAGCTCAATCATACACATGGAGTTATAAGAAAGACATAAAGATAGCAAAATAGGGAAAATTTTTTTGAAAAATTTGCAACTTTAATTTTTTGGGGGGGGAATATGGTTCCATATTTGTAAATGTTGGTTTTTCAGGGCCAGAGAGGCTATGAACTAGCTACTATGTTCTTAAAAGCTCAGTTATAGCTGAAAGAAAAAGGCCAGCATTTTCATCTGTTTTTTGAGTGAGGTGACTGAGGAATTAATGGGAGGCAGTGGTGTGGTGGTAATGTCACTAAACTAGCAATACAGAACCACAAACTAATGATGTGGGGACATGCAACATGTTTGAAAGCTTTGTACCAGAGGGGATTGGGCCTGGATAGGCTGGGACTTATTTTACTGGAACGTAAGAGGTTGAGGGGTGACCATTTCGAGGTGGATAAAATCATGAGGGGTGCAGATGAGTTGAATGGCAGGCATCTTTTCCCAAGGATGGGGGGAGTTTAAATCTAGGGGGCATATTTTTAAAGGGAGAGCAGAAAGATTTTAAAAAGTCATAAGGGACAATTTTTTTTTTTTTTTTTAAACACAGAGTGATTCGTATGTGGAATGAACTTCCAGAGTTGTGGATGCAGGTACAGTTACAACATTTAAAAGACATTTGGATAAGCACATGAATAAGAAATGTTTGGAGGGATACGTAACAAGTGCAGGAAGGTGGGACTAGTTTAGTTTGGGATTATAGTTGGCAATGGATTGGTTAGACCGAAGGGTCTGCTTCCGTGCTGTATGAGTCTATAAGTTCTCCTGATTATCCACTGTTACCTGAAGGTAAAGCATATGGAAACTATGAAGAGAGGTTTATACTTTCTCTCCAGGATTTCCATGAATCTTCTGCCAATTCCAGTGGATGACCTGAAAAGAACAGCACTGGTGCTCAACTGCGGAAATGGGTAGTCCAACTGATGGTGAGAATTTGTAAGATTGGGATTAAATGGATCACAGCACTCACAATGAAGCAGTTATACCTGTTTCACACAAGAGTAGGAATGTCCAGGCATATATTAATCAGCCAGAGGCCATCCAGTACCTTATGGAAACAGGTTATTAAGACCAAGACTGTGGGTACATTTTCAGCTCACACCAATCCTCAAATGTCAGGTATTGATACAGTATTGTAATATTAACTATATACAACAAAATATTACTGATAAATAAATATTAAAACATGTTAATACTTTAGCTTATGCTTTAAGCATTTGTTTTGTCCATGTGCGAGATATTGTATTATGATTCTCTTTACCAACTCACTCACAAGCGCTTTATGTTTACTCTATCGTGTTTCCTTTCATTCATTCATAAAACCATATTTTGTAGTACATTTTACTCTTACAAGATAAACTAAATTAACCATCCCTTCCTAGGCTGCCAACCCATTTGTTTCTTTACACCTTTCAATTCTTATCAGCCCCATGCTGCAAGCAGCACTTAGACCTGTTTCTGTATCAAAGGCTACCCATTTCTGAAGAAGGGTCCAGACTCGAAACGTTAGCTTTCCTGCTCCTCTGATGCTGCCTGGCCTGCTGTGTTCATTCAGCTCTACACCTTGTTATCTCTACCCCTGAATAAGTGTTAATACTGTAACCTGTTCAGAACAATGCCATCCCAGCCGTCGTATCTCCATAACTCACTCAAAACTATGGAAAGATTATAATATTAATTAGCCCTTCGTAACCATCTCTCAGGACCTGAATAGGTTGCAGGACATCAAACAGTTTTCTCCACCAGCATGTCCCTACAGTCTGCTGCATTTTATCTCTTTGAAATTTCCTTATACACTACCTATTTCTTTAACATTGTACTACCTATTTCTAACTTTTATTAGGACTACTGTCTTGTACTAATGTATGGATTTATACTTTTTAAATACATATTAAAATAGGGCCACTACCCCCTTTAAGAAACTTACTATCAAAGCAACCCTTCCATGAAACTGCATGAATGATTGTGTAAGAGCTGTCAAAAACCTACAATAGTAGATGAAATCTCACGACCCAGCTGTGGGAGATCAGTTTTGTATCCTCTATATTTTAATTTAGTACACATAATTTTTCACTTATTTAGATCATATAGTTCTAGGGATTTTGCTAACATTACTAACTTTAAAAACAAAATGACTAACACCTCTTAATTATGCAAGTTCAGACTGGACAGACATTCTAATCCCGTCAGGAGTAACAGCTAGCATTTAGCAAATGCTTAAACTATCTCCTGCTTCCCCAGGACAGATGTCATGCAAACTTGTGTACAATAGATACAACTATATGACACCATAGTGCTAAAATTTTAATGTATGTAAAAACTGTGTATAAAAGAGGCTACTGTAAAACTGTACTTCGGATTCCATCACTGCCTCGAACTGTGCCACTGCTAATGCTCAATAACAAGGCTATTTTCTCCACTCACGGATCTACAAACCACTGAGAAACAAAACTGGAAGTGATGCCAACCACCCAGCAATCCGAGGCATATAAATAACACCAATGCTTCACCGGAGGCGCACTGACGATGTTACCTAACAGAATGATGAAACGTTTGCAACCAAAGCCACCAGCTCATCAAGCATGTCTACAACCTGATCCACAACCTGAGTTACAAATCTTCTCAAAAACTTTAAATAGTAATAGAGATTTCCAAAGCATTATAGGGAAATATCACAGAAGAATTGACATTGACAGGTTGGCCAAATAGGCAGATGTCTGGCAGATGAATTTCAATGCAGAGAAATGTGAAGTAATGCATTTTGGTAGAAAAAACATGGGAGAGACAATCCAGGCTCAATGGTATAACCTTGAGGAGAGTACAGGAGCAGAGGGCCCTCAGGGTTCAAGTGCGTAATTCTCTAAAGTTAGCCAGGCAAGTTCTTAAGAAGGTTTATAGTTTGCTTGTGTTTATAAATAGAAGTGTAAAGTATAAAAGCAAGGAAATGATGCTCCACTTCTACAAATCGTTGGTCAGACCATGTTTGAAGTATTGTGTTCAGTTCTGGGCATTTTCTTTAAAGAAGGATGTTAAAGCTTTGGACAGAGTGTAAAGGAAATTTACTGGAATGATAACAGGAATGGTGACTTTAGATACAAGGAAAGATTAAAGAAATTGGGCTTATTCTGCTTGGAGCAAAGAAGG